AAGTGCTTTCACAATTAAAAAGAAAATTAGGTGTCACCGGACTCGTTTTCTTGCTTCAGAACAAAATCGGTAAATTAACTACACTTTCCTTTATAAAAGTTAGATTATCCCAGTTATCTTCAATTATACATACATTACTAAGTTAGGAAAAAGTGAATCAAACAATGAATTACATTCCTCTCTAAAATGTGCATATTTCATGACATTTCTAGACCGATTATTTTCGGCTTTTTTTACAAACTAAGATGGAGGAAAACACCCGATCTATCTTAACATCACATTTAAATAATAAAAAAAAATGTAATAGAGGTAACATTCGTCTCGTTTTGTTGACGGACTAAACTATTGCATCCTGTACAAGTTCTTCATTTTCCAAATGCAAGGTCTTAACCAACGAAACAAAAATAAGAATCTTAATTTTCATTATTTCCGTTCGGGTATTAATATTCTAATTAATACTAGTATATTAAAGATTTGCAGTTGCGCTCATCGCCTTAGTAAAATCTTAAGATGACCGTGATGGCTTGTCATGATCATGCGCGTTTGACCAATGATAATATACGTTAATTATATATCATAATAATCTCTCTGGCTAGGAAGGCGTCAGTGAAGTCTAGATAGTTCAAATTATACCATAATTACTTTAGATTTGACCTCTCATATGCCATATTCAACACTATAGTAAGGGTGTATTAATTCATAATTCAAAAATAATTCATACTAATTTTCTTGTGGGTGCTGAAGGTGATTCATAACAATCATAAAAGACGGGTTTCATCTTTCTTAAAATATGTTGCCACCAACAACATAGAAATACCTATGCTCCAACAATAAGAAATATATCTTTATATTCAAAATATCTATTTACAACTGTAGTAAAAGCATAAATATTAAAAAATATCGTTCGTCACGTGCGACTTATACTAGAATACCACGAATGTTTTATATTAATTACTTGTAGAAAGGAATAACACACTTTTGAAGTTTGAACTTAATATTATTTAAAACGAACGATTAGAACGAAAAACAAATACCTTTAAATGGTTTACACTGTATAATAATAAGAAGATGTGGTATGATTGCCACTTAAACAACTATCCGGTAGTGTATGTAAGCAATTATTTTTTAGCTGAATTCGGCTATTTTCTTTTTTATGTTCCTATTGGTCATAGAGCGTTTACACGTAATTATACATCTCTAGATTTCAGACTCCATCATAAGCATACAACCAATACCTGTATCATAGTACTATCTTCTTGAATCGGGATGATGTTTGTATGTATTTCCATTGCCAACGCCTAAATATTGGTACAAATAAAAAGTATAAAATTATTGTAAGAGGCTCTTAACATGCGATAAAATCACTAACAAGAATGCCAAAATCTCAACCAACGTTTAATATTCCAAACTAAAATATGAAAAAAGTAAAATAACAAAAATACCGAACTCCAAGGAAAATTCAAATCGGAAAGTCCCTTATCAAATGGCAAAATCAAAATCTCAAACACATCAAACGAATGGAAAACAACTGTCATATTCCTGACTTGATTCACACGTAAACACACATATATATATTTATATACCTCGATGCCTGAATTATCATTTATTCCTTTTAATAGAGGATAAGCAGGAAGATCTGAAATAGTTATGGCACATCATAATTATTATTGTACTTACATATGTAAAATGTTTGTAAACTTCAAAAAGTACAATGTGTCAACTGAGTGTGTATATGAAATTAAATCTTGAACCCTTGTTTTATACAATCAAAGTCAAATTTTGCTGACACGAAAAAATAATAAAAACGTAATAAATATTCAGTAACATGTGCATTTTCCTATAAAAAATGGATAAAAGGAGACGAATTAATGTCTTCATATGTTTACCATTTAAATAAAAGGTTTTTCTCGAATGTTTTTAAACGAAATTGCAAAATCATTATTTGCCCATCTTTTTTTATATAACTATTGCTATGGTAAATGTACATAGAAAATGTATTTTAGAACATCTTACATGTAAGAACCAATCGATCTCTACGATGTAAAAGAAACTAAGAAATAAGTAATTTGTTTATACTTGTGAAAAATGTAATTGGAATTTTCATAAATGCCACTTAAAAATCGGGATTTTATGCATTCTGTGCAAACATTACAATAATCTCTCTTGCTAGTAAAGATTTAACTAATTTGATTTCACTGCAAAGATAGTTCAATAGGAAAAGTTTATACTAATCTAAAGGAATATTCATCTAAAGGTTGGTATTAATGTTAACAATTCTACACCCGTTTCATTGTAAAGGCAAGCACGTGAATTCTTTCATTCACTTTTCAATGATTATCTTTTCAAAAAAGTATTAAAATACTATCTGGAATATGGTTAAAATAGTTCTTATATAAGCCATACTAATTGGCCAATTCAATGTTATATTTGGAAACAATATAACACTACAGTATACTTCCTTATTAATTTCTATCTACCAATTAACCTTTCTTCCTTATTGTACAAACGATCTGATTTGAAGACCACTATTTACTTTTTCGTCCGTCGGTTTGTTCTCGCCACGACAGACCCAATGTGTGTGCTGACGCGCCTCAATCAATCAATCAACGTCAGTTTTGGTTAATTTATATCTATATAATTGTTTTCATCAAACAAACATAATAATAGTTAAGCTGCTTCTGAAAATTGTTTTGATTGTGATTCTAGTAGGACCTCTTTGACCAATATCTGATATTTTGTATACAAGTTTGCAAAATTAAGCTCTGTAGTTTTCAATCCTTTTCAACTTATTCAGAGACCTCGGTGACCGAGTGGGCTAAGTAGTACAACTGCATTATCACTAGCCTGTCAACACTGAGGTTGAGAGTTCGAATACCGCACATGGCAGGTGCGTTCGACTCCAATCTTAATAACTAGGATTGTCACTTTTCCTGCCGAAGGTCTGTGGTTCTGTCCGGGCACCCCGGCTTCCTCCACCAATAAAAACTGACCGACACGAAATAGCCAATAGTGCTGAAAGTGGCGTTTTACACCAATCAATCAACTTATTTAAAAGCTTCAATTGATTGGTGGGTTTGGGTTTCTAATCAATTCATATTAACATTTACTACGTTGGCATTCTTCCTCTTTTATTGTGTTTTCTACTTTACAACGATCACAAGATTGAATGACCAAGTAGGCACAGACAGCTGTTGTCTTTCATATGTCCATACCGTCTGTTGTACTTAAAATACTTCAGAAATCAATGAAATGTTTCCAAGAATTCGAATCGATTGTTTTCTTGGTTATACTTTTCGTACATATGTCATTGTTCGATGATATGTATGCCTATATTTTTCTTCATAATTTACTTTTTTTAAAACACCGATATTAAGAGGTGGCAAAAATCTATGGAAAAATGAAAGTTATCCGCGACAACATCAGTACCATATGGAAAATGCTAGAAATTTGATTGGAGATTTTGTAAAAGAATAAATCAGATATTTATGTATCAAGTGCAAATGAAATATACTTACATTGCCTGCCATTTTAATTTTTTCCGTATCCAAAAAACGGATATATAGAAAGCCTGACTTAAACGTTTGTACATAATTATCTTGAAAATAGATAAACAGAAACTGTACCAGTAAAGATAGTCAGCAATGCAAGAACCACAAAAATCTGTCAAGAAACAATAAATTCACATCCATTTACATGTATAAGAGTTATTGCCTCTTAAACGAATTTTGACGAATTTTATCATTTTTGCTTATTATCTTAAAAAATGTGATAAGAAAACAGAAACTGTAAACAGTTTATTTCATGCTAGTTTCATTACCCAGAAGTATACTCTGATTAATTTAATCTGGTAGTTGAAAAGCGTCACAAAACACGAGCCTCCTCATTAGGTACTTCGTAATTTTTTATAAAATAAGGCGGTGTGGTATGATACCCAATTAGACAACTATCTAACATCCAAATGACGTGAATATAAGCAACTATAAGTCATCGTATACGGTGAATATGAACCATCTGCATCCGCACTTTGTATAAAGTGGTATGTGTTTTAGTCGAGAAGAACAGTCATGCGCCTAATTATAAGTTACCATCTTGACACTGATATTTACAGTAAATGCTTTTCCAACATTAATGATATACATTGTTATTTTTAATTGTTTGAAATGTTTTGACTTTTAATATATTCTAAGATCATATTTCATATTGAATTTCTTTTCATTCGGGTTTAAACGGAAGTGTCGAGTTTGTTACCATAATCAAATCTGGTTTGAGTTTTAACAATTCTTTGTAAGAGTTCCGTAAACGCTAATCTGAATGATGAGATACATTGTATTTTTAAATAACCTTAAAAATGTCTTTATGTAAAATGACAAGTTTATCAATGAATGTAAACTCCACGGCAACCGAAAGCCATTGATATAGACTCAATTGTGTTTTGTTTGTCTAGACTTCATGATCTAATTACAGAAAAAGATTGAACAAAAATATACTTCATTTTTATTTAATGAAATTGTATGTTCTGTATTATCTCCAGGTGAGCCTTATAGTGTTTTTTGCTTATCTAAATGAACAGTATAAGGCCAGTAGCAGCAAGCAGACCAATAAAACTCGGATTCTCCACTGATTATCTTCTTAAAAATGGATAAATGTCGATGTAACACCATTAAGTTCAATAGTGCTTGTTGCAAAAAGTAATAAAAGACAGAGAGAGAGAGAAAGAGAGAGAGAGAAAGAGAGAGAGAGAGAGAACAAAAAGTTAATTTGTTTGGACAAGACTAATGCCTCCGCTTTAGCCAAGTTCTGTTTCGGCAATAACAAGTTATTTCCAATACAATTTAAGAACGTAGCAGTAAAAATCGTCACGTGATATTGAAAGTTGTCGGGCAGTTTATAAATGTTAGAGGGTCTTCTTTTAAGTTCATTATGTTAAGACACTTAAAACGTTTGACCTTTAACCAAACATGTCTAATAATTCTAAATCAATATTAAATGGGAGCCTGATTCATTAGCTATTCCTAATATCCTGCTTTCGTCTTCGATTATCTGTCCTCGGCAGTCGGAAAGCAATAAGTAACAAGCTTTAGTATTTGCATTGCAATTTTTACTCCAATTTTAATTAGGTATATCAATAACTATCTTTGTAAATGAGAAAATTAAACGGGTTTCAAAAGAAATTAGATTTGGAAATTAACTTGTCATAACTGATACTAGCGTATGTTGCAACTCCAACGTTGCAATAAAAAAACTGTTTGCCTCACTTGTAATGGACTTTTATTTTCAATTACATCAACTCGCAAGGTCAAAATAACAATTTGGATCGACAATTAATTTATTTAATTCATTAGCTTTACACCTTGTAAGATCAATAATACTGCAGAAGGAATACAGAAACATTTCATACAGAAAACATATTCCAGATAACGCATTTTGATTGGTTATTTCTATATTTAAGAACATCCCACTAAGTAAACGTAAACAATCAAGTGGAATTGATATAAGAAGATAATCGTGAACCGTTCTTGTATTTACTCTGGAATGACAGATTCTTTTATTCAAACCTAAGGTAAGATAAATATTCTTTGTAATTATTATCCATCAATACATATTTTATTATTATCATTTCAATCATCATTTTATTAACTTGGAAAAAAAAACTTTTGCAAATATCTTTTTTGTTAAGAGGAAACTTACTTATGTTTGAAGAAATGACGAACAGATGTTTGCGTCTAAAACAAACAAAAGTTTTTGATAAATAGTTTCCAAAGCGCCACTCCATTTTAGAAAGCTACATGACCAAATAATCACTCAACTATACTAATAACGCTTGATAAGAAAACAATTAATGGAGAAATCAAAAAACAAAAACAAAAACTTTCAGAATTTTCAATCAGCAATTTTTAATGGAAATTAAGTTGTCATACTTGATTCTCCAAACAGAAACGTTTGAATTAATGATGTCTTATTTTTGATTATCTGTTTTTTCCTTCTAAAAAACACGCTCATTCCAACAAAATTTTAGCTTTCATTTAGAGAATTGGTTTCAATGTACTTCTTTACTCTTAACGTTTGTCTTCCCAGTCCAAAAGAAAAATTAGTATCTAAAATGAGTACAATGTACATTTATTTTAATTTTGTTCATTCGTTTTATGTTAAAGGAATTTAACTGCATTAGACATTGAGAGTGAATTTTTCGGAAGTAGTGTCACCACAGTTTCCAAAAGTCTTTACTTATCATGACTTATTCACATTCGTTTTGTGTTCTTATATAGATTCACGAGACTCTAACGTAAACCCAATCGCGTCAAAGAAAAATCACGTGAGAAAGATATGGCTACATGAATTTATTAAATTTTTGGGGCCTTTTCGCCAAATGTCTATATAGCATAACTTAACTTATTTCCATTATAGTAAATGACTTTCACTTTAACTTGCTTAACATGAAGTTGCAGTTATTTTATGTCTATCTTGTTTGTATCGACTTTTTTTTATATTATTGTTAGTTTGATAAACATATGTTAGCTTTGTATAACCTATAAAGAGGCAAGTATGCATCAACACCTGGAGCGAAAAAAAAACTTAAGTGTCTTCGAATGCGTCAGACCAATAAGTGTTTGGTTTATTCAACACCTTTTTATACGACCGCAAAAATTGAAAATTTTTTGGTCGTATATTGGTATGACGTTGGCGTCGTCGTCGTCGTCGTCGTCGTTGTCGTCGTCGTCGTCGTCGTCGTCGTCGTCGTCGTCCGGCGTCGTCCGAAGACACATTGGTTTTCGCACTCTAACTTTAGTTTAAGTGAATGGATCTCCATGAAATTTTCCCATAAGGTTCAATACCACGAAAGGAAGGTTGGGATTGATTTTGGGGGTTATGGTACCAACAGTTAAGGAATTAGGGGCCAAAAAGGGGCCAAAAATAAGCATTTTTGTAACTTCCAGACAATAACTTGTGTGTAAGTGTATGGATCTCTCTGACATTGTACCACAAGGTTCAATATCACAAAGGGAAGGCTGTAATTGATTTTGGGGGTAATTGCCTCAAAATTTTAGGAATTAGGGGCCAAAAAAGGGGCAAAAAACAAGCATTTTTCTAGTTTCATGACAATAACTTGTGTGTAAGTGTTTGGATATTTCTGAAATTGTACTACAAGGTTCCATATCACAAAGGGAAAGCTGGAATTGAGTTTGTGGGTAATTGCCCGAAACGTTTAGGAATAGGGGGCCAAAAAGGGGCCAAAAATAAGCATTTTTCTAGTTTCCAGACAATAACTTGTGTTCAAGTGTATGGATCTCTCTGAAATTGTACTGCAAGGTACCATACCACAAAGGGAAGGCTGGGATTGAGTTTGGGGGTGATGAATCATAAGGGGGTTCAAAAAATTTGGGGGGGGGGGGGGGATTTTTTTTTTTCTTTTTTTCCTTTTTTTTTTTCTTTTAAAATTTTCCATTTTAAGTTGGTTATTTCTGATTAATATTTAAGAGCAAATAATAATGATATGGTAGGAGATACACACCAAACAGGATGTGTAAATTATTATATAATAAGTATTGTGCAATAGCAAGAAATTTTCAATTGCACAGTATTGCACAATTGCAAGAAATCTTCAATTGCACAGTATTGCGCAATAGCAAGAAATCTTCAATTGCACAGTATTGTGCAATAGCAAGAAATATCCAATAGCACAATATTGCGCAATAGCAAGAAATTGTCAATTGTACAGTATTGCACAATAGCAAGAAATATTCAATTGCACAGTATTGTGCAAAAGAAGATACTTCGTATAAATTGCTTATTTCTTGATCAATTTCAATGGGGTTTTATTCTTGAATTCTTGGGGTTCTTTAATATGCTGAATCTAACCAAGTATTAAGTTTTTGGATTTTGGGCCCCATTTTTAAATTGGTCCACATTGAGGTCCAAAGGGTCCAAAATTTAACTTTGTTTGATTTCATCAAAAATTGAATTATTGGGGTTCTTTGATATGCCGAATCTAACCGTGTATTTAGATTCTTAATTTTTGGTTCCGCTACATTAAGGTCAAAAGGGTCCAAAATTAAACTTAGTTTGATTTTAACAAAAATTGAATTTTTAGGGTTCTTTGATATGCTGAATCTAAACATGTATTTAGATTTTTGATTATGGGCCCAGTTTTCAAGTTGGTCCAAATCGGGGTCCAAAATTAAACTTTGTTTGATTTCAACAAAAATTGAATATATGGGGTTCTTTGATATGCTGAATCTAACTATGTATTTAGATTTTTGATTTTTGGGCCCCGTTATCAACTTTGTCCACATTGAGGTCAAAAGGGTCCAAAATTAAACTTTGTTTGATTTCATCAAAAATTGAATTCTTGGGGTTCTTTGATATGCTGAATCTAACCATGTATTTAGATTTTTTATTTGTGGACCCGCTATCAAATTGGTTCATATTGAGTTCAAAAGGGTCCAAAATTAAACTTTGTTTGATTTCATCAAAAATTGAATTATTGGGGTTCTTTGATATGCCAAATCTAACCGTGTATTTAGATTTTTAATTTTGGGTCCCGTTTTTAAATTGGTCTACATGAAGGTCCAAAGGGTCCAAAATTAAACTTAGTTTGATTTTAACAAAAATTGAATTCTTGGGGTTCTTTGATATGCTGAATCTAAACATGTGTTTAGATTTTTGATTATGGGCCCAGTTTTCAAGTTGGTCCAAGTTGGGGTCCAAAATTAAACTTTGTTTGATTTCAACAAAAATTGAATATATGGGGTTCTTTGATATGCTGAATCTAAACATGTATTTAGATTTTAGATTTATGGCCCAGTTTTCAAGTTGGTCCAAATTGGGGTCCAAAATTAAACTTTGTTTGATTTCAACAAAAATTGAATTATTGGGGTTCTTTGATATGCTGAATCTTACCATGTATTTAGATTTTTTATTTGTGGGCCCGCTATCAAATTGGTTCATATTGAGGTCAAAAGGGTCCAAAATTAAACTTTGTTTGATTTCATCAAAAATTTAATTATTGGGGTTCTTTGATATGCCAAATCTAACCGTGTATTTAGATTTTTAATTTTGGGTCCCGTTTTTTAAATTGGTCTACATTAAGGTCCAAAGGGTCCAAAATTAAACTTAGTTTGATTTAACAAAAATTGAATTTTTAGTGTTCTTTGATATGCTGAATCTAAACATGTGTTTAGATTTTTGATTATGGGACCAGTTTTCAAGTTGGTCCAAGTTGGGGTCCAAAATTAAACTTTGTTTGATTTCAACAAAAATTGAATATATGGGGTTCTTTGATATGCTGAATCTAAACATGTATTTAGATTTTAGATTTTTGGCCCAGTTTTCAAGTTGGTCCAAATTGGGGTCCAAAATTAAACTTTGTTTGATTTCAACAAAAATTGAATATATGGGGTTCTTTGATATGCTGAATCTTACCATGTATTTAGATTTTTTATTTTGTGGGCCCGCTATTAAATTGGTTCATATTGAGGTCAAAAGGGTCCAAAATTAAACTTTGTTTGATTTCATCAAAAATTTAATTATTGGGGTTCTTTGATATGCCAAATCTAACCGTGTTTTTAGATTTTTAATTTTGGGTCCCGTTTTTTAAATTGGTCTACATTAAGGTCCAAAGGGTCCAAAATTAAACTTAGTTTGATTTTAACAAAAATTGAATTCTTGGGGTACTTTGATATGCTGAATCTAAACATGTGTTTAGATTTTTGATTATGGGACCAGTTTTCAAGTTTGTCCAAGTTGGGGTCCAAAATTAAACTTTGTTTGATTTCAACAAAAATTGAATATATGGGGTTCTTTGATATGCTGAATCTAACCATGTATTTTGATTTTGGACATTGGACCATAATAGGTAAATTAAAAAAATTGAAGTTCTTAGACCACATTCTTTCTGTGTCAGAAACCTATGCTGTGTCAAATATTTAATCACAATCCAAATTCAGAGCTGCATCAAGCTTGAATGTTGTGTCCATACTTGCCCCAACTGTTCAGGGTTCGACCTCTGCGGTCGTATCAAGCTGCGCCCAGCGAAGCATTTTATTCTATCTTTTTTTTGTTTTTTTATTATGTCGTTGTGTCGGTATAGCGTATTGAAAACTAGCATCGAGTCTAAATCACTGGCATACATTGTATATAAATATACTTGAACAAATAAAATCAATAAGTATGTGCAATCCAACATCCATAAGAAAGAGAAGCACAATCATAGAAACAATTTGTGCATAATTGGTAAATCTTAAGAGCATGAATTGTACTTGAACATACGTGTTCTTTTAGGAACATTGACATAGTGTTTGATGCTACTGTGATCATTATCTAATATTCCAAAAATGGGAATCATAAGTTTATGATTTCCTAAAGTTTTAAAGTAATTCAGCCTTCTCCGATTTTTTCATAATTTTTCGTTTGGCAGTATTCTTTCACTCACCTTTAGGAAACGAATGGGATTTAAAATCTTACCATGGTAAATATTTAAGTTATGAAAGAAAAGCTTCGGTTTTTCCAATAAAGCGTATTTGCCTTGCAAGGGTTCGGTGTCCAAGTTGTATCAAAATCTAA